AAATAATAAAATATTAAAAGTTGAACCCATGTGAGAAGCTTATCATCCCTCCTTCCTTACCCATTTCGCAGTATCAACTTTCTTTTTGTACGAAACGGCAAGCCTCCACTCCACCTCCCAGATCTCTAACCTCCACTCCCATATCCTCGTCTCTGTTTCCCTATTCCTCTTCCTCAAGCATCCACCGCCGACGCCACCTCATGCTCACCACTACTAGACTTGGTGTACTCACACACAACAGATCAGATCCTTGCTCATCGTGCTAGCCATCTTCCTCTTCGCCAGGCTCTTCGACCACCTCTTCGCCTCTTCGACCACTTCTTCGCCTCTTGCATCCTCACCGCCATCAGTGCTTTGTGTTTACTGTCTGTTTCTTTTTTTCTTTTTTTAAATTTTTTTGAAGATTTTACATTTATACCCTTTGACTGTGTCGGATAGGTCAAAGTCGCGTGTCCAAATAGTCAACATGTCCCAAAATATTGACCGCGTGTCGGATGCGTGTCCGAGCGTATCGGTGTCCGACACGTGTCGGACACGTACATTTTAAAAATTAACATATCCGTGCTTTGTAGGTGGCCAGTAATACAAATAGGACACACAATCAGAGAGAGAGGGGGAAAGTGGTGGGATGCGTGATACTAAGCTAGTGAATAGACTTGCGCTAGAGTAGAGATGGAATTCTTGGATGGTTGGACTTATCCATAAAACAAAAAAATTAAAATAAAGAGTAAACATCATTTTTTATCCCTGACAATATTTACGAAATCATTTTTAGTCCCTGGCAATAAAAAAAGATCAAATTAATCCCTAACAGTATGTAAAAAGGGCCACGTTAGTGACGAAGGAGTTGACATAAGGACTAACGTGGCCCTTTTGTCATAATTTTAGGGACCAATTTGGTCCTTTTTTATTGCCAAGGACTAAAAAAGATTTTGTAGATATTTTCAGGGACCAAAAAGGGTGTTTACTCTAAAATAAATGAATATTTAAATGAGTAGGAAGAACTAGAGTCTTGAATTCAGTGACTAGTAATGAAAGAAAAAAAAACTGAGTAGGAAGAACTAGAGTCTTGAATTCAGTGACTAGTAATGAAAGAAAAAAAAAACTGAGTAGATATTCTAATCGTTTTGGTGATTAATTGGTTTCGGGATATAAAACTTTCAACTTCTAAAAATAGTACTCAAAAGAAGTAAACACATACTCATTTCTTTGATGCCAGTTAAACTACGATTATTTACTAAAACTGAGTGTATTAAGTGTTAACCTGGCGTGCTAAGTGTGTCATTTAATTTTATTGATTATTCTTATTATTTTTTAAATTAAATCTTATTTGCTTATGTTGTAGCTTTTTTATTTATATAAATAATGTATTAATTAAAAAAGAAATATTTGTCATATTAATTGTTTCATGTAATCCAAAAAAAATGACGGAATCCACTAAGAAAAAGAGAAGCAAAAAGTTTCATCTACTTTTATGTGTATATGAGATAATTTTATCTCGTATCACATGAGAAATATTTTTTTCATAAAAATATATTAATAGATAATTGAAATAGCAATTTAACATTACTCCTGCAAATGGACTGCGCTCTTTTTCCTAAATATTTTGGTTTTTTTAAGTGAACTTGTTTATTCATGCAATATAAATAAAAAATGATTTCATTACTAGATTAAAGATACTATCTATTTAAATTATGAATCTTAAACGAGAATAAATAAATTAACCTCAAACACGGGGGCAGTATGCGCAACACTACTTCATCCCAAATTTTTACTGGAGCTAGGTAAGTTAAAGTATTAATTTAAATGATATTTTTTAAGAAGAGCTCTTATTACAAAAAAAGATTATTATAATAAATAAAAAAATTAAAAATTAAAATAACTTATCCTAATAACAAATTATTTCATCTTTTCTCTTTTAAAATCCTCAAAACACTTGTATATAATTACCAAACATAGAATATGTGAAAACATGTTAAGAGAAGAAATAAATAAATAAATATATATATATATATATATATATATATATAAACCTATATATTTTTATGTGTATATGTTATCTTCCTATGATTCTTTGGCAAAAAAATTTATTTATTGCAATTTAATTAAATAATTACGCATTTATTGCAGTTTGGGGAGTATTTACAGATGTATTGCACAATGTGACGTCCCTTTTGGGCGTCACATGTGACGCCCCATTGCGGCGTCTCTCATGAAGGAGAAGACGCCCCAATGGGGCGTCACATGTGACGCCCAAAAGGGTCGTCATATTGTGCAATACTATAAATACCCCCACTTTCCTTTTCACTCCTCACTCATTCCCCACTCTCCAACCTCTCTCTAACCTCTCTAACCACCGTTCTTAGCGAAGCTCTGCCGACTTAGGTAAGGTCGTAATACTTCCTCTGTATACGTTTAAATTACGGTGGTAGTTAGTAATGCATGTTAGGATTGATCGTATATAGACTGAGAACATTAGGATAGTCACTTAGAAATTTTGTGCAATGCTATGAATGTTGTAATGATACTTCCCTTTTTTTGTTACGTAGCTCATATTATTAATATTTAATTATGCATTAGGGTTCAACGTATTAATTAGTGATTTAGTAAATAGTGATAGCGACTTCGTAAATTTTGTATGTATGATATTATTAATGTGGGAGTTTATTCATAATTTTGTAGTCATTTAGGTGTGATGATTAGTACATATTTATGAAGTTATTAGTGACCTAGGGTTAAGTATTATGTAAGTATTATATTACTTTTGTCCAATGTATTTTTATTATTTAATTACAAATAAATTACTGTACTACGTATTAACATTATTTCATTAATTTTGATTGTAGTAATGAAAATGACGCATATGCTTAAATTTTTTGATAATAAATTATGTCATTGCTTAATTAATTTGTAAATAAAATGGGGCATTACATGTGATTAATGTAAATGTTGTTTTATATTATATAGTTGAGGGTAATGGCTGAGTCATCATCTTCATCGGGTTTTGCGTCGGATATAGAGCCTACTGATGCCAGCATGTACATCATACCGGGGGCCGTACAGATGGGAGGTCCTTCGTAAGAGGACGCAGAAAGCTCATATTTCATAGCGAGTATGGAATACAGAGCATGTAAGGAAAATAAAGACTAGACGTGGGAAGCCATCTGGGAGGCCACCTATAGGCGTTATCCCAGAGGTTGTCGCAGACTACCTGACACAGGCCGGATTCATACATGTTGCCCAGATGCAACATATTCAGGTATGCAATTTATGTTTTTTGTATTTATGTTATTATTCGTTAACACGCTCTGATTGTATATTTTATCACAGATCGATGCCCCTTTAATTAGTGCTCTGGTCGAGAGGTGGAGACTAGAGACACATACTTTCCACATGACCCAAGGTTAAATGACTATCACCTTGCAAGATGTAGCAGGCATATTGGGGTTTCCTACTGACGGGGATGTCGTCACTGGATCCACCTCTGAGGATTGGCCCGCTGTTTGTGGGGCTGTATTTGGCGCGGTTCCACAGCCAAATAAGTTCCATCATTCAGGCGACGTGCGTATCTCATACTTAGATCGGTTATATACCAGGTGGACTGATCATGAAGGGGATCATGCTGCCGAGATCTACTTCACAAAGGCGCACATTGCCAGGATGCTTGGTTCTCTGTTGCTGGCGGACAAGTCTGGAGGCAGCAATTTCGGTTGTCGGCTAGTCCCGTTGCTTGGGGGAGGATTTGATGATATTGGCCGATATAGCTGGGGATCTGCGGTTCTGTCACACCTTTTCAGGAATTTGTGTGAATTGACAGATGTCGATCGATCTGACATGGGTGGTTGCCATATTCTCCTTCAAATCTGGGCATGGATACGATTCCCACCCATTGCTCTGCGCTTCCTCCTCATCCAGAGCCGGGCACGCATTATGGATGCCGGTATGCTTAGTTAATCTTATTTCATTTCGATAATGATTTATCAAATATACTATCTGTATACTTCTTGATTATGATTGCTGATGTATGTTTCTGATGACAGGTTTAATACAATAGCAAAGTTTAAACCTCATGAGGTCACTCATTATCGGGCTACCTTGGATACACTTTGTAGAGATGAGGTAAGGTGGTCCATATTTAGTTTGTTGTTATTTTATCATGCATGTATATTAATTTCCAACTCCTTATATACAAATTTCATTTTGTGTGTAGGTGGTATGGCTACCATATATCGATTATGAGTGGCTGGACGTGAAGGAACACTAGAAGTATCTCTGGCTTGCTATCAGTCCCCTTATTTACTTCCACACTGTCGAGGCATGTCAGCCGGATAGGTGCATGCGGCAGTTTGGACTTGATCAACCCATCCCTGATGTGAGCAGAAAGTTGAGAGCGATACATGATCATACTCTACGGGGAAAGGTTGAAGAGAATTGGAGGCGTAAGCTTAGTGGATATATAGCGAGATGGCAGGCCAGGGTGAATCATATTGGTGTGCCCCCTCCATTACTAGGGTTGATGTCACCTAATCATGCGTACATGGAGTGGTACAGAGGGAGGGGAAAAAGATACATCTCTCGGAGGGCAACAAAGTTGGGACGAATTGTGAGTTTCTAAAATTTGTGTACACATTCATATTTATGACATTACTAACACATTTTTTTATACAGATTGACGGTCTAGAGATGTTGTATCATGCATCATCTGCGGATGAATTTTCTCGAGTCGGCATTGAGTTTATTCATGAGGAGATTGGCAAGCTTATTGGTATCTTTCGTGAGAATTCACGAGTTGATGAGCCTGGAGCTGAGGCACCAGCAGTCCAGACACAGCCAGATCCACAGTTGTCCTTGGATGTTCCTCGTAAGCGAGTTGAGGGACAAGGATTAGGACGTACACGTGAGCGAGTTGCTGCTGAGCCTGTCCCGATTATGGCTCGCAAGATTCCTCTCAAAATCAACGATGGCCGGAGTATAACCTGTACATAATGGACATCCACAAATTAAACATAAATTGATAAACATAATGGAATGACATAAATATGCATCGTGTCAATGAGTATACCTAAATTCTTTAACATCTGCTTTAAACCTTCATTCCGAAATTTTTGATTGAAGTTGCTTGCAATATGACGAATACAAAAGACGTGATATGCATTTGGTGGCTGCCAATTAGGGTTATTCTCCACAGCAGATATTATGCTACGATGCCGATCGGAGATCAAACATATGTTTGACATGTCAGTAACATGAGCACGAATATTAACAAGAAAATAGTTCCATGCATCCAAGGTCTCGCCTTCAACGATGGCAAAAGCAATCGGTAAACATTCATCATTACCATCTTGGGCTGTGGCCACCAACAATTTTCCTTTGTACTTCCCATATAAATGTGTTCCATCAATTTGAATAACGGGTTTGGCAAATTTGAATGCCTCACAACACTGTCTAAACGTCCAAAATATGCGATGAAACTCCTTCTTTCCAGTAACTAAGCTCTGCTCTGCATAAAGATCATTTGTTTGGATATTATAAAATGAACTTGGAGAAAAGCGCAGCATGTATTCGCACCACCTTGGCAAAAAAGCGTACGATTCCTCCTAATCACCGTACATAATTGCGATCGCTTTCTGCTTCGCATACCACACCTTTCTGTAGGAAACTTTAAAGCCATATTTAGCGGTTATCCTTTCTTGCACCAAAGAGATTGACACAGATGGTTCTTCCTTTATCATTCCTGCATTGAAGAGGACCCAGACTCGATAATAGCTCACAAATTTAATTACACAGCAGTACGTAAACGTTGACATGTCATTACGGTAAATAAATATGTACCTATGACGAGATCTGCAATAACGTCTGCATCGAGTTGTCTATGTCCCTGCGAAATGTGCTCATTCAAACAATTGTGTTTTCCACCCCATCTCGTAATCTTCCAATTTTCACCAAACACTGGTTTCATGGCCCTAACGCGCCACGGGAAACCCTTATCATACGCACAACATTTCATGGATAACTTTGCAGGCGTGCTCTCAATTACAATTGCTTCTTGATGCTCCCTAATGAGGAGGTGCTTAAGTGCCATTTGGACATTTTTTTGTTGTTGCAAATTCTTGATTGACAAATAAATTGTCGCCCAGTTGCCACGAACCTTGTATTGAACCCGATTCTGAGACCGTACCGTCAGCGCAAGATTCTTGTTTGCTTGATAACTCCAATCAATGTAGGAATAATGTGGATTCCTTGCCAAAAAGGAATAACAGCTTCGTCAACTGCAATTGCGGATTGTAACTTATTAATACAAACTTCCTAATTCAGGTAGTAAATCAGGTATGTACTCAACTATATACACATTATTTCAATTACCTTCATGATGACTCCCTAATGGGGCAGACGCAACGTCATGCAACTACGTCATTTGCGCGACCACTGGTTGATGGAATAATGAGATTTGAGACGCACCCATTTCGGCACCTTCATCTCCTTCGGAAGCACTAGCACCCTCCGCCAGAAGACGTTATTCCATTGCGATATTTTCATCATCGTCGTCGTCGTCGTTGTGCATTTCCCAAGTTGGATCATTTTCATCTCCCTCAGAATAGTTACCAACTGGAGACGCATGAGCGGCAGACAAAGATGGAAGACGGGCATAATTTAAATCAACTGACCTCACCGGTAAGGGAACATTCTCGGTTGCGGCAATGTCGATATACAACTCCAGAAAATCTGTCCTTGACTGGTTGAAAAATTCTTCCATTGTCATCTCCAAGTCTTTATCGTCAACCACTTGCAAACTAATGTATTTATCACATTGCCATAATCTTATCGTGTTCTGAGTGATACATTGATTGCTTTGAAGACTTAGCTTCTGCCAAATTTTCTGATGCAGTTCGCCAATGGTTGCATTGCGTTCGATACGTGTCGGCCTTTTTTCACCTTCAAAGATGACACCTCGTCGACCTTCTACCTTTCTACCATTGTAATATAACACAACACGAACAAAATCAGGACGTAAGCTCATTCTTAAATAGTAGAAATAAAATTCAAATACAAAGGGAATAGATATGAAGAGTGAGAGAAGAAGAGGTGTGAAGAGAGAGAAGAGGTGTGAAGAGTGAATGGAGGGGTGGGGGGATTAAATAGACTGCACAATGTGACGCCAAATTTTTTTCTAAATGCATGTGTTAACCCTAAAATACACAATTTTTTTCTCAAAAGGGTAGACGGGAGCTTTTTCATTTCACTGAACTGTGGATGCCAAATTCTACATCTCGAATTATACTCTATCCCACAAAGAATTCTATTCACCCCTCTATTTGAATTGATAGGTTTTAAAGAGATTTGGTTAAACAATTTATTAAAAAGCTTTTTCGCAAAAGCTAATGTCGGTTTGATTAAAAAGATGAAATATCAAACCACTTAAGAAAGTAGAGGTATAATTATTATGATGGTGTATTTTAAATTAAATACCATGTTCATGATACTTGTTTAAACTATTAAAGATGAGTTGCATTATGTATGAGAAAAAAAAAAAAGACGAGTAGCATTTTGCAAAAGACCAATTAAGGGCAAGTGTTAACTATTAAGGTACTATTTAATACAAATAAATATTAATTTCGTTACTAACATAATGTTTATTTAGACGACGAAGGACTTGGGAGGAAAATTGAAGAAGAAAGTGAAATATTAAGAGCAGATTCTCAAAATAAAAATAAAAATAAAATTGAGATGGCCAAATGGGGAGTGAGTGTGAGTTATGGGGGCGAGAGTGGCAAGGAGATGGCTCATGCCGTACCATCTAACCTAATCACACATGAGAGGTGCCCCTGCCCACTGGTTAAATTCATTAAAGAACATTTGTGTTTTGCAAAAGAATCATAGGAAGATAAAATATACACATAAAAATATATAGGTTTATATATATATATATATATATATATATATATATATATATATATATATATATATATACACATATATATATATATATATTTATTTCTTCTCTTAACATGTTTTCAGATATTCTATGTTTGGTAATTATATAAAAGTGTTTTGAGGATTTTAAAAGAGAAAAGATGAAATAGTTTGTTATTAGGATAAGTTATTTTAATTTTTTATTTATTATAATAATATTTTTTTGTAACAAGAGCTCTTCTTAAAAAATATCATTTCAATTAATACTTTAACTTACCTAGCCCCAGTAAAAATTTGAGTAGTGTTCCGCATACTGGCCCGTGTTTGAGGTTAATTTATTTATTCTCGTTTAAGATTCATAATTTAAATAGACAATATCTTTAATCTAGTAATGAAATCATTTTTTATTTATATTGCATGAATAAACAAGTTCACTTAAAAAAACCAAAATATTTAGGAAAAAGAGCGCAGTCCATTTGCAGGAGTGATGTTAAATTGCTATTTCAATTATCTATTAATATATTTTTATGAAAAATATATTTCTCATGTGATATGAGATAAAATTATCTCATATACACATAAAAGTAGATGAAACTTTTTGCTTCTCTTTTTCTTATTGGATTCCGTCATTTTTTTGTATTACAAGAAACAATTAATATGACAAATATTTCTTTTTTAATTAATACATTATTTATATAAATAAAAAGCTACAACATAAGTAAATGATTTAATTTAAATAAAAATTTAAAAAATAATAAAAATAACCAATAAAATTAAATGACACACTTGGCACGCCAGGTTAACATACACTCAGTTTTAGCAAATAATCGTAGTTTAACTGGCAGCAAAGAAATGAGTATGTGTTTAATTCTTTTAAGTATTATTTTTAGAAGAAGTTGAAAGTCTTCTATCCCGAAACCAATTAACAACCAAACCGATTAGAATATCTACTCAGTTTTTTTTTCTTTCATTACTAATCACTGAATTCTAGACTCTTGTTCTTCCTACTCATTTAAATATTCATTTATTTTATTTTGTTTGTTTTATGGATAAGTCCAACCGTCACCAAGAATTTCATTTCTACTCTAGGCGCAAGTCTATTCACTAGCTTAGTATCACGCATCCCACCCAGTGTTTTAAAACTCCGCTCCACCCTCCGAGTTGACCCGGGTCAATCCTGACCTCTCCGCTCTGAGGGTTGGGGTTACAAGTTGGACCCTATATGCATATCGACCCCTCTGACCCCCAAAACCCGGCCAGGTTTCAGTGACTACCGGGTAACTCCCGAGTTTCCGTCGAAAATTTTCAACGGAATCCATTTTCCGTCGAAAATCACAATAATTTTCGACGAAATTCCATTGATTTTCTGTGAAAAAAATTTCACAGAAATAAATTCCGTCGAAAACTTTCAACGGATATAAATTCCGTCGAAAATTTTTCACGGAATTAAATTCTGTTGAAATTTTTCTACGGAAATAAATTTCGTCGAAATTTTCGTCTAAAAATGGATTATCAACGAAGGAAAATTCGACGACTTGAATTCCGTCGAAAACGTTTTCGACGGAATTTATACCATTTTCGACAGAATTTTTCCGTCGAAAAAAAGTACTTTTTTAGTAGTGTGATCTATTGCAGTATTTTCTTCTTCCTTTGGCAGGTTGACCGACTTAAAATCGAGTTTCGTCATGGGAGCTTCGTCAAAACTCAAAAATACTATATTTTGAGCAATTTTTATCACAAAACAACTCAGAAACAACAAACCATCGAGATTTTAATACAATTTATCTCAAAAACAATATATTTTTGAGAAATTTTGGAAGCTTAAAATATGATTTTTCAAGCTAAGGATCGCGGTTTTTTGGACACAAAAAGGTGTGATTTTTGTATTAAAAACAACATAAAACAGTGAAAAAATATCAGGAGAACTAAAACCCTCAAACCAATTTTCGTTTTATATCAATGAAATAATATCAATTTAAAGAAAGATTGAAACTTTCATAATATGAACCCTATATTTCGTGATAATATATTTATGAACGAAATTCCTTCTCCATAGGAAACGATTTCAAATAATTTTTATGTCAATAGATAATTGAAAACTTATTTTTCAAAAGCCCAGAGAAATTTAAGGTTTTAATGTATCGATTGAAAAAAATTTGAAATTTTTTCTAAATTTTCATGTGATAAAACCCATAAATTTAGATTCAAAATTATCTTCGAATATTCAATGAAAATATGCATATGATATATGATTAGAAAACTCTCATCACGTAGAACAAAAACCCCAAGGTTTTCAAGATCAATTGTAAAAAGTTCCAAATGAAATTTAATCATGAACTTTAGGTTTTATATGCAAATTTAGAACTATTTTAATAATTAAAAAAATTGGGTCTTATAATCATATAGGCATAGCTTTGATACCAAATGAAGAAGATAATTTTCAACTCGTTGGTCAAACCCAAGAGCATGAACGAGAAAATATTAATGTGTGGAGGACTAGTATAACTTTAGATATGTGAAGAGCTGTTACTTAGTAATTTTGAATGTTTGTTAAAAATTATATTATGTTTTACTGATTAAGAAAATTATATTAGGTTTTACTTTTTTATAAATTTCATTGCATTTCTTTGTTATTTTTTTATTGACTCTTGTACTTTTGAATGTTTGTTGAAAATTCATATGGTTTTTTAAAATCTTATAAATCTATATTGTACTTTCAAATCTTATAAATTCTATTAAAATCCAATCTTATGAAATCTTGATTGTAAAAAAAGTCTGTTGAAAAAGTCTTTAAAGTCTCTCCAATTCTAAAGAGTCTTTTAAAAACTATAAAAAAATTTATCTCAAAAAAGTCTTTTAAAATCCTAATCCAATACCCTTAACCTGTTAGGAACTTAACTAAGGGCCTGTTTGTAGCACCTGATAAAGAAGATAAGATAGGATAACTTATCATATCCTACTTTTATCTTTTGTTTGGTGGGTCAATAGGATATGATTAACTTATCCTATTGTCTCATTTTATCCTATCCAATACATGATTTCTTATCC